GAGATGCACGACACTCGATTGCAACTTTGTTGCGATTCTAAGGCACTTTCAGATTTTTACACACAGACAAACTTGTACACAAACGAAATTTCACACTGTATAACATACTGCACAATAAATAATATCTACAAATAGATTTGTATGCATTTGCAGATTACGGTACTGTATACTACAATCTCTTGAATAGACTAATTCGTTAGCACCAGTCACTCTTTTAGTAACCGTGCAGACAGCCGTCTGACACAGTCGATTGCGGCATGTTCGACTTCCGGCAGAGTGACTGTACATTCCGTGTTTAATCTAGACATCGGGGAAATTAAAAAAAAAAAGTCAATCAAAAAAAAAATGATAACGAAAAAAATACTCAGTATATTATTTAATGTAATATATATTTATTTTCTTATTTTTGATAACGAAGAGTATATTCTAAAATAAGTCAAAACAAAAACAAATGCATTCTTAGTAGCAAATGATCACGGTAATGGTCATACTGCGTTTCACACAAGTGAATAACTTTTTTTTTTTTTTTTTTTTATTACTTTAAATAAATAAATTTACAAAAAAAAAGAAAGAACAAATTACAAAAAAATGAAAAGTGGATGGCTTAAAGGAAGTGGAAGTGGGGGAACATTATTGATAAGCTGACAAATCTGGCTAATAAGTGATTTACTCATAATTGAAATTGTTCCATTTTTCATTAAATTTAGACATTGATAGCTATTTGTCGCTCTACAATACGAGTGTTTAACATTATACTCTCCACGACTTCCACCTTTGGGACTGAACCTCTTTTCGATTCAGAATAGAGGTGCTGTTTACAAATTAAAATAAAAAGGTTGAGAAGATTACAATAAAAACTGCCGTGTACTCCAAAACAAATATCCCTGTCAGACAATAAAATATCAACGTTTGTCTATTTTTTCCAGAGTGCTGACATTCCCCCAAAATCTCCTAGTAATAGTACATGTAATAAAAAGATGCTCAAGAGTTTTAATATCAGCGTTACAAAAAGTGCACAATGTACTATCAACTAATTTCCATAAACACAAAGTGTTATTTGTGTAAATTGCCCTATGTAAAAATTTATAATGAAATGCCTTGCAGCCTGGAATCAAATGTACAGAGAAATGGTAGTTTAAATGGTGGGTTTCCAATCTTCGTCCGGAATTTGAATTTCAAGCCGTTTTTCCCATTTATTTTGACAGCCCAAAGGAGGTACATTTTTCCTAACCAAATCCGAATACATTTTTTTGTGAGGTTTAGGTTTGTCTCTAACATTAAGGATAAAATAATTGTGAATAACTTACTTGTTTTCGAAGTGTTACAATTGCTGATTATTAATCAGTAGTGATTACAATAATGTACAAAAAATAAATTCGTTGAATTGTTGTGAAAATTCAACTTAGTTTCACCGCAAGCGAATGATTTTGGTCACATATAAATGCTCGATCCGATACGATATCCGCCATGTTAGTTCAAACATCTTTAGTGACTTGAAACTGTTATGTTGACCTGATAGGTCAAGTCGCTAATTAACCAATCGAAACGCTGGATGGTGCCATTGTGATTAAATTACCATAGCTCATTTAAATATGTTAATGTAGTTCAACGACTTCATGGTAAACGAAACACAGAAGAGATTTACCATTGTTGTAGTGCGATCGTTTGGCTTTGATTTTGATGGGAAAACGGCATGATTTTTTTTAAATCAAGAAATTAGTTGTTTTCGAAAGATAAGCTGAGCATTGAAGAAGAATTTGACACTTTT